GCAGTCGGTTCCCATCTCGAGGTGGTTGTTTGGGAGTGCTTTTGTGCTGAACATGATCGGACCCAAGGCGACGGACAAGGAGGGAATTGGCGCACTGATGGGGCTGGCTCGGAAGCTGGTGGGAGAGAGATTCGGGGAGGGGGCAGAGGACAGGAAAGACATGTTGGTAGGTTTCTCCTATTCAAGAGGGACCTGGGTAGACAGGTCAGGAAGGGCTGCTGACAGGTACTTGACAGGGCTCATTTGTACGGCATGGTCTCTCGCAGCGAGAGTGCGAAGCCGAGGTACTGGTCCAGATCGTGGCCGGCTCTGATACCACCGCCACCGCCATCCGGGCGACAATGCTGTATGTCATGACAACACCGAGGGTATATCAAGCCCTGCAGAGAGAGATTGATGAGGGCATCAAGAACGGCAAGATCTCGAATCCAATCACGGCGGCAGAGGGTGCTGGGCTTCCATACCTGCAGGGAGTCATCTACGAAGGACTCCGTCTCTTTCCCCCATTCACCGGCACCCCATTCAAGGTGGTCCCCCCCGAGGGTGACACTATTGACGGCAAGTTTGTGCCTGGGGGAACGAGAATTGCAGCAAGCTTTTGGGCCACAGGACGACACCAGGGCACCTTTGGAGCGGATGCAGAGCTGTTTAGGCCCGAGAGGTGGCCCGAGGCTGCTGCCCGGAACGAGAAGAAGTTTGTCGAGATGAAGCGAGTGGCCGAGCTTGTTTTTGGGTATGGACGATGGGGGTGTCCTGGAAAGACTGTCGCCTTTCTTGAGTTGAACAAGATTTTCGTCGAGGTATGTTTGTCTCGTGCTACCGGGCACCCCTCCTTGCAGATCATCGGGATGTGAGACTGATGTACGGAAATTGGTTACCAATGGTAGATGTTGCGGCACTTTGATTTCCAACTTGTGTACCCGTATGATCCGTGGAAAGGGAGCAACTACAACCTGTGGTTACACAGCGATATGTGGGTGAGTGTGACGAAGAGAGACACGGCTATCTAGGTACCTAGAGAACTGCCGGCAGAGGCACAGACGGTTGGCGCCGTTGGCAAACGAACCGGACAGCGGGTAAATGCCAACGGTGGCCGGCCCGTGACGCCTGGCACCTCAGAGATGGGATGGGATGGTCCACCCCGGGCTGGAGAAATGGAAGGTTTTGTTTTCTTCTTTCGCTGATGAGAAGATAGAAATAAAAATACAAAAATTGACAGTTTCGCAGCAGCGGACCACTGAGGTCACACTCAATCTGCGCGGAGCCCCGTGTGCCTGAAAATCCAAGATGTCCCAAGAAACGCTAGCCCCTGGAATGCGGATCCTGATTGGCTCGATAGCAGAGGTGCTAACATGAAACAAGCAGTCCTCCAGGGGCTTCCCCGGACACTGGCGCGTGCTCCAGCGGGCTATCCCGCAAAGGGCTTAACCGCCACGGCCTGCCAAGAGCACCCAAGCTTCGGTTCGCGAGGAATCCTGCTTATCGACACGCCCCTTTTCGGCCTCCCAATCTCTTTTCTCATCTCCATCGTCCGTCGCTCTTTTCGTCCGTTCCCTTTTTCTGCTGAGAGATCCGACATCGTGCCTGTCGCGGGCAACCTCACTCCTTTTGCTGTCCAGCAACAAACACCACACTCCTTCACCAGCTCTTAGCTAGGTAGCTACCTCACAGCTACAGCTACAACTACCACACGCGGCAAGCACTCAACTTGCCCTGACCGAGACGGGGCACTCCCAATTGCCTCACACAATCCCTCCAATATTCGATTCACTTTTCCACGGCCGATCAATTGATCTTGATCCCCCGGTTTTCACACGACTTTTTGACGACGACAAGTATCCGTACAGCGACATGCAACTGTGATCCTCCAGCGCCACCACATACAAACCCCAGCATATAACAGAATCGACAATGAGATTAACACCATCATTCGCCCCGGCCCTCGGGCTGCTGGCGTGGACATCGCTCATCAGCAATGTCGCCGCCCAGGTCACCACAGAGTGCTTCCCCATGAACGAGACGTGCCCTCCCAACGCCGCCTTCGGCATGGACTACAACTTTGTCTTCAACGCCACTCCCAAGTTCGAAGCATGGGAAACCACCGTGGGACCCGTCAAGTACACCCCCGAGACCGGTGCCGAGTTCACCATCAACAAGCAGGGCGACTCGCCCACCATCCGCTCCCGCTTCTACATCTTCTGGGGCCGTACCGAGATCTGGCTCAAGGCGGCTCCTGGCCGCGGCATCATCAGCTCCGTCATGTTGCTGAGCGACAATCTGGACGAGATCGATTGGGAATTCTTTGGCGGCAACTCCACCGTCGCTCAGAGCAACTACTTTGGCAAGAACCAGCCGCACTACACCAACGCCCAATACGACCAGATCCCCAGCGTCCAGGACGACTTCCACAACTACACTTTGGACTGGACCAAGGACTACCTTGACTTTTACATTGACGGCGCCAAGTTTCGCAGACTGACTCCAGAGGATGCCATCAGCAAAGGCGACGGCAAGAAGGACAAGGGCGGCATGGACTTGTATCCCCAGACACCCATGCGCATCTCTATCGGCATTTGGGCCGGCGGTGACCCCAGCTTGCCCGAAGGCACCCGCGAGTGGGCTGGTGGTACCACTGACTACACCAAGGGTCCTTTCTCCATGTTTGTCAAGAACTGCCATGTTACCGACTACAGCAGCGGCAAGGAATATGTGTACGGAGACCGGTCTGGTTCGTGGGAGAGCATCCAGATCATCGAGTAAGTTCAAGCTCCCTCTGTTCACCATGAACATCATCACTGACTTTCTAAAAGGGGCAACTCCACTGTCGAGGAGGTCATGAACGCCCCGCCCCCCGTGCCCGAGAAGACAATGGCCGAGAAATGGGAGGAGCTTCCCAACGCCGCCAAGATTGCCATCTACGCCGGCGGCTCTTCTGTCGGTGCCGCTATTCTTTTCGCTGCTCTCTTCTACTGCATTCGCCAGAGAAGGCAGGGTGCCAAGGAGGCCACCGAGGCCGCGGCGCGTGTCGAAGCTGAGCGTCTGGAAATGGAGCGATTCAGAAAGGAGGGTATCAATCCGGATGCCTTCACTAGCAACGCTCACGAGTACAATGCCAAGGACATGGCTCAAAGTGGTCTTGCCGACAAGGACGGCTACAGTGTTCCCTCTACGCCCGCCCCCGCCAATGAGAAATTTGGAAGCGTCGTCGCCATGGCCACTGCTGCCGCGGCCGGTGCCGGTGCCGGTGCTGCGGCTGCTCGTGTTGCCAACAATGGCAACGGGAACGGCGGTGACAGCCCCTTGAACAGCCCTACGAGTACTCCTCTCCTTCGTGAGGGCGCGCAATCTCCACGTACAGTAGACCCCACGAATCCCTTCGGCCCCAACTATGTCGGCACTCAAAACGCCCGGTCTCCTGGTCCCCCGTCTCCTTACAACCCACACGAAAACTTGCGCTCACCAACAGGGTCTTTGTACAACCAGTCCATGTCGCCGCCCCCGCACCAGCCCCTGCCACACCCACCGACGCGGAGCATGACAAACCAGAGCCTTCAGTCAAGGGTGGGGTCACCGGGACCGAATCAGCAACAGCACGGATTTGACTTTGGCATCGGCCAGCCGCCGCAGAGGAGCGCCACCACCAGCCCGGCGCCTCTCGCCCACCCTCAGCCTCAGAGGAGCTTCACCACACCTTCGAGCGGCTACGGAACCCCTCCGCAACTGCAGCAACAACCATCGGGGTATGGTAACCCTCCAGGTCCGGCTAACGGCCCTCAGCAGGGCTACTGGAACGGCGGAAATGGCGGCGGCGGTGGTTACAGCTAGACGTGCTTTGGTGGTAGTCTAGGGTGACAGCACCATCTCAGATCTTGTGGTGTGTTTCTGGAATTTTTCTCTTTTTGATGTTGGTCTTGATTTTTCATTGTTCTTGTATTATGGCATGAGAGCATTTGGCGTGCGATGATGAAAACCTGTTTGTCGATATTTGCGCGCACATACACACGCACACACACAGTAGTAGTACCCTTTGTTTTTCTGGGTTGAATGATAGACTTGTTGGCACTGGATACCGTTGGGAGGAGAAGGCTACGGCTGGTGCCTGGCAAGGTGATGAAATGGTATACCCTGCCTCTTTTTGCCTGATTTTGTGTCTTTTGAGAGAGTGTTTGCTTTGCGCTGAGCTGTATTGCTTTGTACATACTTTTGCTGCCTTTCATGCCACGTCTCTTTACCTTCATGAGTCAATTGTCCAAGGCCGCTTTCAACATCTCCACTCATCGAGCAGAGAACAGGGCGTGTGGCTCAGTTGGTAGAGCGTTCGCTTAGCATACTCATCCTTGCATCGTCAAGATCAGGGATCCATTGTATGCGAAAGGTCCTGGGTTCGATTCCCAGCTCGTCCAATCATCATTATACAATGAGCTGTTACTTTTGCCATTTTTTGTTCAAAATGTCTGGTCGGGATGTCGTTGACAGTGAAAAAGAAGGGAGGGGACACAGGAATGATCATTGGCCGTGTTCGATATCAACCGTTACTTCCAACAACCCCTCGCGTCTTTGTACGACTCAAGATATTCGACCTACATATATAGGTACCCAGCTGCATATACCAAACGTCCTCTACCTATATGACAAGACTGGCTGGCGCCTTCTTTTACCTCCGAGGGCGGTTCATAACTCCACCAAGACACTCTCAACACTCTGTCCCAACTCACTACCTACTCTTTCTTTGCTCCGCAACAAACCCATCTTTACTCTTTCAACACCAGCACCCATGGCCCCCCCAGACAAAGACTAACAACAACCACCCATTCACAACCCCCTCGGCTACCCAACCCGCCACACAACAAACAACCCACTCCCCCACCACCGGCCTCTCCATCTTTGCTCCCCCTCTCCCTCTCCAACATCACTCACTTTCTTCACAATACATCCATACCACCAAAAAAAGAAAGCAAAAAGAAAGCACCCCACACCACCATCTTCCCTCCATGGACTGACTCTCCCGCCGGGAATTGAACCCGGGTCTCGAGCGTTGACAGTTCAAAGGGAATGAATGACAAGCTCACATACTGACCACTATACTACGGAAGATAAACGATTGGAAACATTTATCCATCAACAGGTGTTTGCGCACCTGTCGTAGCTCTGTTGGAGAGGAGAAATGGTTGTGTGTGAGTGACACTGGACGTACCGCGAATTGAACGCGGGACCTTCTGTAAGGATCGCAGGTGGAACATGCGAAACAGAAATCATACCACTAGACCACACGCCCGGCTTTGAATTTGTTGAGGAAACGGTCGGAAAACAAGATTCATGCATGGTCGGTTGTTGGGAAGTGGGTAACAATAGGGCAAGTGGTGGTGGGGATGAGGGTTTTGTGAACTCTTGTGTGTGGCTGAAAGGAGTGGAGTTGTTGGCGGCGTGGCAACCGTTGCCCCTGGCCCCTGAACGGGCCAGCCAAAGAAAACAAACATTCCCAAGTGAACAATCATTGACTGTCATTACCATATCTAGTTGGCACTCATTCTAGCGTTTCTATCTCCCTTCAAATAATTGTTAATGTGTCGTATATGCAACAGTAGCCATAAAACGCCGTGGTATCAGATGCACCGTCTAAACGCAGTCAACCTCTATCAGTATCTCTCATAGATCATTTTGCTTCTTCCATCTTTTTTCTCTCGAACAAACCCTTGACAGCCCCTACACCCTTTCCGAGCGCACCAAATAATGGCCCAAAGCCAAATGTCCAACCCTTGACTCTGACCGTCCAGACAAAGAAGTAGACCAGCCTAGATAATCATGTTAGCGCCTGTCGCAACCAACCAAGGACCAAAGTCAACACTTACATCCAGTTGGTAAAGCAAAACACCAAAAAGATGCCAAAGTCCCTCCACTTCTCATCCGGAGTGATCCCCAACGTGTTCAGGTACTGGTTCCCGCTCGAGTACGGACAATACCCACACTCTGTCGTGTCGTTGGGGTTAAGCAGATACCCTTGGCCAGCTTGTCTCGCAAAGTCTCCAGCAAATTCCAGACACGTCTGTCCCGATGGTGGGTTGAAGTAGGCCGCTTCATTGGGAGCACACTGCACATTCTGGCCATCCAAGGTGGCCGCGAGAACGCCCCTGACCCACCACGTCGACGGGTTCACATAGTAGATCCAGTACCTCCAAAACACATTCAGCTGGTCATAGGGAACCACGACACCGTTGAAGATGGAAAAGGTGACCAGGAAGAACGGCAGGATGTTGCTGATCACCGTAAAATTGGGCGCCCAGGCACAAATCCACTGACCCCAACTGGCCATAAACAGGAAAAAGAGCAACGTCATCAAAAATACGTAACCAGCGACAGAGGCCTCAACGGGCAAGCCAGTGGGAAAGTACCACAAGACAAAGTACAGCACAGCCGCCACGATACTGCCGGGTATCTCGGACAAGACCTCGGCTGTGCAAAAGGCAACCCAACCATAGATGCGCGATGGGTGCTCGCGTGCCTCCCAGAGCATACGGTTGGTGTAAAACTTTGGAAGGACGGCATTGAGGACAGTAGCCGGGATCATGATGATGAGGAAGCACGTAAACATGCGGTTCTGCATGTCAGCCACCGTGCTGCCCAGTTTCCAAAAGGTAAAGCCATTGAATATGCCGACAATAACAGCAGTGAACAGCCGTCCGTAGAGGTAAGATGGTTGACGCCATTGGTGGACAAACATGCGCTTGGTCAGAAGGGTGATTTGTGTCCAAGTGGGAGCAGCAAACGACTGCATTGCCGGCTGGACAACTGTGGATTCCTTGTTCGCCTTGCTGCGCTTGGCCTTGAGCTGCTGAATCTCAGCCAGCAATTCTTGGTTCTCCTTGGACTCGCGCCATTCCTGAGTCCAGTGGATGCGCTTGCCGTCGGGGCGTCTTCCTCCTTTGATGGCCGTCTCGAGAAGGAACTCGGCGACGTTTCTGCCGGGAGGACACTGGACGCCACGGTCGGCAAAGTACTTGACCACTGCGCTACCGTTTTCCCCAACGGGACCAAAATAAATGGTGTTGCCGCCGGGATTCAAGGCCAGAATCTTGTCAAACTCCTGAATCAGGTCCGACGAGGGCTGGTGAATGGTGCAGACGATGGCTTGTCCAGCAGCGCAAAGCTTGCGGAGAAAGCGGACAATAGAGAAGGCGGACTGAGCATCAAGACCACTGGTCGGTTCGTCGAGGAAGAGAAGGAGGGACGGTCTGGCCGCTAGCTCAACGCCAATGGTCAGTCTCTTCTTTTGCTCCACACCAAGAGACGCAATAATGGCATCCTGGACGTCTGTCAACTCGAGCAAATCCAAAACAGTGTCGACGTATGCCAGCTTCTCGTGCTTGGGTGTGTCACGGCTTTGACGAAGGAGGGCAGAGAACTCCAGGGCTTCCCGAATGGTGGCAGTTTCATCGTGAAGATCCATTTGTTCAACGAAGCCAGTACCGCGCTGAAAGTCACCAGTAAGAGCCTTGCCATCTACCAGCATGTCGCCAGAAACCACGCCGACAGTTTGACGTTGAGACAGGGTGTTGAGAAGGGTCGTCTTGCCTGCACCACTGGCTCCCATGAGGGCAACCATGACACCAGGTTTCGCATACCCGCTGACTCCGTTGAGCAGCTTCTTTGGTCCTTGGGGGGTAGGAACAGTGTACGAGACATTCTCCCAGGTGAACACCTTGTCACTTCCTGTCAGGCCAGAGAGTTCACTCTTTTCCGAGCGGTTTTGATAGCCAATGTCAGTGGCGGATGACATTCCCGTCGCGTTTCCCTTTTCTGTGTCAGTGGGCTTTGCAGCCAGCTTGGCTTGCTTGGCCGCCTTGCTGGAACGCTTGAAGACAAGCGCGCCACCGCCGGATCCGACAAACGACAAGAGCTCGGTTGCGGCAACCGTGACGAGAAGGTAAAGCACCGAGAAGGCGATGAGAACACCAAAGTTGCGCCACAGATGATCGCGAGTGTAGTTAAACTGACTGTCGAGGTATGCCGTTCCGGAGACATCAGTACTTCCTGCCACCGAGCCAGGGATCGCGCAACCCTGGTTTGCTGGAAGAATGCCCGGTCCCTGAGGCACAAGATGCGCAGGGGCACACTCCATGATGCGGCCAGAAAACTCATTGGTCAGAGCGGCCTCGAAGGCATATGCAAGCTTTTCTCTTGTTAGTAGCCGCTTGGTGTGAGGAAAAGAAAAAGGCCTGCTTACCGGATTCACATAAAAGATCCAGCCAAACCAGATCTTTTGCGACACCAAAATAGGCTTGTAAATTACATAACCAGTAAAGATCACCAGCAAGTTGAGCGCAAGTCCACTAAAACGAACGGCATCATCGATTGTTGGCGACAAGGACGCAAACATGCGGTACAGAGCCGTGATACAGAACGTGGTTGTGTAAATGAACAAGAGACTGATGAAGAACTTGGCTGGCGTCAAGTCGAGACCGGTCATGAAGTACATGATCAGACCAAAAATGATGACCTGGAAGACCAGGACCGGTAGATCGACAAGAGCGCGGGCGAGATTGACAGCAGACGGGCGATAGAATGCGTATTCCTTGTGCCGAGCCACAACAACTCGGCCAGAGACCGCCTTCATGAGCTCAGCAAGCTGAAGCCAACCGAGAAAGACAATGGAGAAGAAGGCAGCGCCGGCACGAAGGAAGGTGCCGGCCGTGTTGTCCGGAGTGTCGTAGAAGAGAGAACCGACGATAAACCCGTTGCTGATGATGGTAAAGTACTTGGTGTACATTTCCGTCTTGTTTCCCCACATCAGCCAGAACTCACGGCGGGAGCAAGCAAGGACCTGCTTCCAGAAGCTCACGGTGTAGTTGGAGTCCGAGGCAACACGGCGAGACTTTTGTTCCTCTACAGCTTCCTGAAACCTCTGCGTATCGGCGTGCTGTGTCGTTTGGAGATGCTTCTCAAATCGTTCTACGTCGGCAAGGACTTTCCTGTACGCTTCACTGTTCTTGAAGGCCCTCTCGAGCTCCTCGGCAGTCTTGGGGCACTTGTCTTCGTAGCCGGGGCGGAACTGGCGGGCAACAGGATCGCAGATGGACGTGAGGAAGTCGGCAGTGGTCTGGCGTGGTGGTGCGTGGAATCCAAGGTCGATAAAGTACTGTCTGGCCTCGTTGGCAGGGCCTTGATAAAGCATGCGCCCCTCATCAATGACCAGGACCTTGTCCATCAGCTCGTAAATGCCTTCTCCAGCTTGATAGAGCGTGGTAATGGTTGTTCGATCCGATACGTCGGTCATCACACGCAGCGATTTGGCGTAATCCAGAGCTGTAGATGCGTCGAGACCTCTGGTCGAATTATCCCAGCACACGATGGTGCTCTTGGTGGCCAAGGCCTCGGCGATGGAGACTCGTTTTCTCTCGCCTCCCGAAACACCCCGCGTATAGGCATTACCTACGATGGTGTTTTTGGTATGCTGGATAGCAAACATGCGCAGCAGCGAGTCGATGATAAAGTCGACATTACCCCTGAGGTGCTTCTTGGTCTTGTTGAGCAAAGAAAACTGGAGAGTCTGGCCGACAGTCAAGGTGGGCATGTGCTGGTCGTCTTCACCGTTGTAGACCACCTCGCCACGATAGCGTTTTGCAACCTCCTCGGCAGAAATACCGCTGTACGAAACCTCGCCCTCGACAGCGGCATAAGAGCCCCTGTTGTTGGCAATGACGCGGAGAAAGGTACTGCAGCCACTCCCCGGCCGACCCAACACGAGCATCATCTCTCCATGCCGTACCACACCGGTGAAATCGTGGAGAAGCGTGCGTAGCTCGCCTTGTTGACGCTTGAAACGAAGGGCCGGAATACATCTGCAGAGAATGCCGTACAGATCGGGGCCAAATGTGCCGAGGATGGCCTGGGGAAGTGTCTTGACAAACATGGTGCCGCCACCAACACCCTTGACAGTGACGTTCTTGTACACCACCCCGAGCTTCTTGCTTGACTCGCCGGACTCTGTGCGCTTCTCGAGATGGCCATCGCGCATAAACTGCTCTAGTTGAAACTGGCTGCCGTCATCAGAGGACTCGTCCGAGCTGCTAGCATCGTCGACGGGCTGCTGTTCAGGATCATCCTCTTTTGGTCGCTTTGATTTTCCACTGGCGCGGGAAGCGATGCGGCGAAAGACATTGTCACGCCTGCTATCCGACTTGCGGGAAGCTCTCGATGCCGACCTTGTCCGTGGTTGTGAACGTGAGCGAGACCGTGAGCGAGACCGTGAGCGCGTCGTGGTCATTCTGGTGAGCTCGC